GGGTTCCTCCAGTGGACTCTCCTACAAGACTGGGAGTTTCTCCCGCTGCTGCATCCCCTACAGGTTTTTACAAAAGAGCTTTTGAGGCTTTATTTCCCCACACAGGAACCCTGTATTACACACTCTATCTTGCTCCCCAGTGGTTCCTCTCAGTTTATCCACATATGAATGTGGGACCACCTAGTCCACCAGCTGTCACCTGCTGCACTCCTCTCCTCCCTGGCTGCCCATCTCCACTCCTCCTACCAGTCTGGATGAATGTTTCTTCTTTAACTTCTTGGTTGGCAGACTTCCCATACAGTTCAATTTCCTGGCAGTTCTGGTTGTTTTTGTTTGTTTGTTTTCTTCCTTTTGGTTGTGCACAGGAGTAAAGTGTATCTACTTATGCCTCCATTTTGGCTAGAATTTGCTTATAACCTTAACAGGTCTAAACTCAGTCTCCTAATCTTCTACTTAGAGTTTCTTTCTCCCCACAGGCTCCATCATGTTTCCAGTTGCTCAGCCCCAAAACCTTGGAGCCATACTAGCCTGTCCTTTGTGTTATATTTCACATGCAATCCAAATGCAAGTCCTGTTGAAGCTGTCACTTCAACTGTATCACCCTATTCTAAACCACAGTGCCTCTGATCTGGATTATTACCTCTTAACTGGTTCACCTCCACCTACCCAGGCCTCTTACAATTTATTCTTCAGTAGCTAGCAATGTGATCATTTAAAATATAATTCAAATCATACTACTCCTTTTTTCATAATTTTCTAAGATCTACCTCTCATTCAGAGAAAAAGCCAATCCCTACAATCACCCCTCTTGGCTGCCTCCCCTATTTCTTCTTTCATATTTTTTCCTTCAGTTGCACTCCACTCCATTGCTCATGACACTGCAGGTATGCTCACCTCCATCTACTCTGCAAGCATAACAGGCATGTTGCTTCCTTAGGGCATTTGCCCTCTTGCTCCTGCTGTGGACAGCTTCTTTTCAAGAAAGCCACATGGCAACCTTCCTTACCTCCATGAGGTCCCAGCTCAAATGTCTGTGTATCAAGTAATGCCTCCTCTAACCACCCTATTTTAAGTACCTATCCCCACTCTCACTATATCCTCCTTTCAGGCTCTTCTTTTTTTCTGTCTGCAATACACATCATCATCCACAATCTATAGAATTTTACTGTCATTTTTATTTTTTCTCTTTACCGCTCTTCCCCACTTGCAGGCATGAAGCTCCAATGTGATTAACTTTTCCAGCTGGTCCCTTGCTGTTTGCCTGGCAGGTGGTATGCACTCAATAATTATTAGATGAATGAAAGATTGAATGAATAGTAGATTCATCATTGTAGTAGAAATATGAATAAAATTTCATTTTTTTCTGTACCTATTATTTGACTTCTCAATTTCTGTTCAACAATTTTTTTAATTTTAAAAAATTTATTTGGATTACATTGGTTAATAAGATTATATAGGTTTCAAGTGTACATTTCTATGATACATGATTTGTATTGCCTTGTGTGCCAACTGCCCACAGTCAAATCATCTTCCATCACCATATATTTGGTCTCCTTTACCATTTATTACCCCCTAACTGCTTCCCTCTGGTAACCACCATACTATTTTCTGTCTATGAGTTTCAGTTTTGTATCCTACATATGTGTGAAATCATATGGTTCTTAGCTTTTTCCAACTGACTTATTTCATTTAGTATGATGTTCTCAAGGTCCATCCATATTGCCATAAATGGCTGTATTTCATCTTTTTTATGGCTGAGTGGTATGGTATTCCATATGCCACATCTTCTTTATACAATCCTTCATTGTAGAACACTTTGGTTGTTTCCATGTCTTGGCCACTGAGACTAATGCTGCAATAAATATAAAGGTGCATATATCTTTTCAAATAAATGTTTTGAAATTTTTCAGTAGATACCCAGAAGAGGGATTGCTGGGTTATATGGCACACTATTCTTAGTTTTTTGAGGAATCATAGTATTTTCCATAGTGGCTGTACATTCTCACAAATAGTAAATGAGGATTACTCTTTCTCCACAGCCTCTCCAACACTTGTTATTACCTATCTTGTTGATAACAGCCATTGTAACAGGTATGAAGTGATATCTCATTGTAGTTTTAATCTGCATTTCCCTAATGGCTAGCAAAGTTCAGCATCTCTTCATATATTTATTGACCATTTGTATGTCTTCTTGGGAAGACATATAAATGTCTTTTAGGTCCTCTGCCCATTTTTTAACTGTTTTTTGTTTGGTGTTGAGTTGTATGAGTTCTTTATATATTTGGAATATTAACTCCTTGTCAGAAATGTTGTTTTCAAATATCTCCTCCCATTTTGTTGGTTGCCTTTTTGTTTTGTTGGCAGTTTCTTTTGGTGTATAGAAGCTCTTTAGTTTGATATAGTCCCACTCATTTATTCTTGCCTCTTCTTCCCTTGCCTTTGGGATCAAATTTATAAAATTTTCTCTAAGATCAAGGTCCATTAGCTTAGTATCTCTGTTTTGTTCTATTTAATTTATTGTTTCAGATCTTATATTTGGTCTTTGATACATTTTGAATTATTTTTTGCACATGGGAACAAACTATACTCTAGTTTTATTTTTTTTTGTGGCTTTCCTATTTTCACAGCACCGATTATTAAAGAGGCTTTCTTTTTTCCATTGTATGTTTTTGGCTTCTTTGTCAAAAATTATTTACCCATATACATGTAGTTTTATTTCTGGGCTCTCACTTCTGTTCCTTTGGTCTGTGTGTCTGCTTTTCTGTGAATATCATGCTGTTTTGATCATGATAGTTCTATAGTATAATTTGAAATCAGATACTATGATACCTCCAGCTTCATTCTTTTTTTCTCAGGATTGATTTGACTATTCAGGGTCTTTTGTGGTTCCGTGTAAATCAAATGATATTTTTCTTCTATTTCTTTAAAAAATGTCATTGTGATTTTGATGGGGATTGCATTAAATCTGTATATTGCTTTGGTTAATATGGACATTTTAACAATGTTAATCCTTCCAATCCATGAACACAGAATATCTTTACATTTTATTGTCCCTTTTCCAATCACTTTTAATAATGCTTTGTAGTTTTCAGTATATAGTTCCTTCACATCATTTGTTAACTTTATTCATAGATACATTATTCTTTTCATCACAATTGCAAAAGGAATTATTTTCAATACTTTTTCTGAAATATCATTGTTAGTATATATGAAAGCAGTGGATTTTTGCACACTGATTTTGTATCATACAAATTTTGTCTTTTGGTTGAGTCTTTAAGGTTTTCTATGTAAAGAATCATGGCATCTGCAAAAAGTGACACTTTTACTTCTTCCTTCCCAATCTAGATTCCTTTTATTTCTTTCTCTTACCTGATTACTCTGGCTAGGACTTCCAATACCATGTTGAATAATGCCCTGGCTGGTATGGCTCAGTGGACTGAGTGCCTGCCTATGAACCAAGGGGTCACTGGTTCAATTCCCGGTCAGGGCACATGCCTGGATGTGGGCTGGGTCTGCAGTAGGGGGTGTACAAGAGGCAACTACACACTGATGTTTCTCTCTCTCTCCTTCACTCTCCCTTTCCCTCTGTCAAAAATGGATAAAATCTTTAAAAAATATATACTATATTGAATAAAAGTAGTATGAGTGGGGATCCTTGTCTTTTCTTGCTCTTAGAGGAAAAACTCAGTTTTTCACCATTGAGTGTAATACTGGCTTAGAGTTTGTTATATATGTATGTCCTTTATTATGCTGAGGTACTTTCCTTCTATATCCATCATATTGTATGTTTTAGTCATAAATGTATATTGTATCTTATCAAGTGATTTTTCTATATCTATTGATAAGACCATATGATTTTCATCTTTTGTTTTATTAATATGGTGTATTACATTGATCAATTTGTATATGTTGAACTATGCTTATGCTCCTGGAATGAACCCCCCTTGATCATGATGTTGTACTTTTTGATGTATGGTATTCAATTTGCTAGTATTTCTTCTAGGATTTTTGCATCTGTATTCATCAGAGAAATTGATCTGTAGTTTTATTGTGTATATGTGTGTTATCCTGGTCAGGTTTTGGTATCAGGGTTATGTTGGCCTCATAAAAGCTGTTAGGAAGTATTGCCTCTTCTTCAATTTTTTGGAAGAGTTTGAGAATAGGTAGCAAATCTTCTTTGAGTGTTTGGTAGAACTCACTAGTGAAGTCATCTGGTTTTGGACTTTTATTTTGGGGGAGGTTTTAGATGGCTGTTTCAATTTCCTCACTGTTGATTGGTCTATTTAGATATTCAAATTTTTCATGATTCATTCTAGCAAGGTTATATGTTTTTAGGAAGTTATCTTTTTCTTCTCAGTCATTAAATTTGGTGCATATAGTCTTTCATAGTGTTCTAGTATGATCCTTTGTATTTCTGTAGTATCTATGGCAACTTCTCTTTTATTTCTAATTTTGCTTATTTGAGTCTTTTCTCTTTTTTCTTTAGTGGGTATAGCCAGGAGTTTGTAAATTTTATTAATCTTTTCATAGAACCAGAGAACCTTTGTTGCATTAATTTTTGTGTAGTCTTTTTGTTCTCTGTTTCACTCAATTCTGCTCCAATTTTTATTATTTCCATGCTTCTGTTGACTTTGGACTGCTTTTATTCTTCTTTTTCTAGTTCTTTAAGATGTAATGTTAGGTTGTTTACTTGAGATTTTTCTTGTTTCTTAAGATAAGCCTGTAATAATATAACCTTTCCTCTTATTACTCTTTTAGCTGCATCCTAGAAGTTTTGATAGGTTATATTGCCATTCTCATTTGTCTTTCATATCTTTTGATCTCACCTTTTTTTTTTCAGTTTATTGTATAAAGGAGTTACACTAATCCAAGTTAAAAACAGACCCTAAAAGGTTATATTATATAAGCTGTGAGGTTTTCAAACTTGTGACAAGGGACAGAAGGGAAATACTACTCTTTGCAAGGAAACCCTCTCTTAACCTTCAGTGAGCCCAAAGCACTTAAAACCCATGAACCTTTAGCTGGTTGTCCTTAGCCAGTCCAATCTCTGAAAGGAACTTGCAGGTGTTTTGGCATAGTTCATTCTGTAGCTTAATTACCTCTCCAAATTCTTGATGCTCAATTACAGTACCATTGTATGCAAATTTCTTCTTAAATGCTTTTATTAGTTTCTTTTTATTGTATTCATCAATGATCCCTTGGAAGGTAGTAAGGGTCTTCCTGCTGTTTCTCTTTTGAATTCTTACATGGATATAATCCCCAGTGCCAGCAAGAAGCAGATCATCACCCTTACTTGCATCGTCAAAGGGATAGAAAGAGGGGAGGTTATGGATAGCAGACATGCAATATGGTGCCATTTCTTTGGTGGAAACAGTCTGCAGAAAGCTGTGGCAGAAGAAGGCAGGTTGGAGGTACTGGATGTCAGAAAGCAAAGGAGCTCAAGGAGGAGGTTGCTGAGTCCTTAGAGGCAGCTCAGTGACTGGGGCTGATCTCACCTTTTTTCTTCTTTGACCCAGTCATTTTTAGCGGTATGTTGTTTAATCTCCATGTATTTGTGGGGTGTTTTTTTAAATTAAATCAGTTTATCTCTAAAATTATGCTTCACTGGGAAGTAAACTCATTCCTCAGTTTCTCTAGATCACGAACCAGCAAATGTTCTCTTAAAAGGCAAGGTAATAAATATATTTAGCTTTGCAGGCCAAAAGTACTCTGTCACAACTACTCAATTCTGCCATTGTATTTCTAAAGCAGCCATGATCCAGTAAAGCTACTTACAAAAGCAAGCTGGGGACCAGATTTGGCCCTGGAGCTGTGGCTTTCCAACCTCTGCTATAGATGAAATCCCACAGGTTTGTTGCTAATCCTGGGGTACAGGTTCCCACATATCACTAGCACTGCCAAAATATACAAATTAAATCAATATTTTAATACACTGGACTCAACAGAATTTGCAGAAACCAACTTGATTCTTTCACACTGTCCTCCATCCCGTTCTAGGTACTAACTTTTTTTTCTCTCCCCTAGATGAAATCTTAGGCTGGTCTCACAGCTTTTTCGGTCTCTCTTAGATTTTTTTTTCCTGCATACCTTGAAATAGCAAACAGTCCACTACAACATTTTAATCATATAATTCCATTTCTTATACAAGTTCTCCCTTTCCTTCATTGCTGTTCTCCCCACTTAATCCTTTGGTCATTATAGCCTCTACCACCCTTCCAGCCCCCACTATACTCCAGTTTCATTGTTGTCTATGGTCTCTGTGTTAATTTTGCTAACATATATGCTATACGGCCTCATGTTTTATATCTTTTCTAGTGATTGATAATAAGTTATAAATATTGTAGTCCCCAGACTGCGGAACCTCCTTCACCTCCTTATATCCTGTCTATCAGAAAATCTCATTGATTTTACTCTGATATCATCCATACTTCTCCTTCTCCAGTGACTATGCTGTAGTACAATGATCACCCACTTCTGTGAGCTGAATGGGCCCTAAGTGTTTACATCATTCATTTCCTCTTTACCTTCCCCTTGAATTTACTATTCACTCTACAGCAGTGAATAACAGAAAGAATAATCTTCCTGATCCTCCCTTCATACCAACCCAGTCCTTGCTCCTCAAAGCCCCTTTAAAACCTTTATTGACTTGTCATTTGCTCTTAGAATTAAGACACGACTTTTTTTTAAAAGATTTTATTTGTTTACTTTTAGAGAGGGAAGGGAGGGAGATAGAGAGAGAGAGAGAAACATCAACATGTGGTTGCTGGGGGTTATGGCACGTTGGCAACCCAGCGCATGTACCCTGGCTGGGAATCTAACCTGCAACACTTTGGTTTGCAGCCCATGCTCAATCCACTGAGCTACGCCAGCCAGGGCTATGACACGACTTTTTATGATAACATCTTAAAGATAACATCTGCCTGATATGACCTTCTCAACATTCCCAGGCCCACCCAGTCCTGAGAAAGGGTATGTGGCAGAATAGCTGCAATTGATAAAAACTACAGGAGTTGTCAAGAAGGAAGAACATACCCCCACTGGATCTATGGCCTAAAACTTGCAGAAATCCAACATGACAATTAATTTACCTAACTGTAATCTCTAATCTCATTATATGCTTATTGCAACACATTAGCATGCTAAGGGCACAACCCACAAAAACAGAAAGCCCATGCAAAGACACAAAATGGCCAACAGAGTTCCTCTGAGAAATGTCTACATTTTTTTTCCTGGGGAGATGCTGAATATCTTCTCCCACGTGAAATACCCTAATTCCTGATTAAATGAACCTCAAAAAAGGAAACAAATTCCACTGAAAGGGGGTGACTTTATCTGTGGAATAGCCCACTCTCTGTCTTACTATGTCACTAATAAGCTTACTTTCACTTTAAAATCTATGCTGGCTCACAGTTGAATTCTTTCCTCCACAAAGCCAAGAACTCACCATGGATGAGGTCCTCAGACCCTGGAACACTTGCATCAGTACTACCCTCCCATCATTCACACCCCTTCAGCCACCCTGGTTATATTTTAAATCCTTATATTCATCTCCCCTTCCTACCAGAAGTCCATGCTACTACATCTGTCTGCACACTCTTTTCTCTACATTTCCCTTCATTAACTAATTTTAAACCTTCCTACTATTACAGTAGGTAGTTGTTTAATTAGTTATTAACAAAGTAAGGGAGTAAATGGAATCAGACATTAAACCTGATTAACTAGGAAGCTGCATCGGGCATTAAGTCTGATTAAGTCTGGAAGCTACTACTTCCGCACACTCCAGGGGACAGCCACATTGCTCTGCCAAGAGGATTAACATCCCTCCATCCCCCACCAAGTAGGGAGGAAGGACTGGCTTTCTAATCTCTCCTGGGGAACAATCAGCTCCTTTCCATAGGTTACTGGGGGAAGGGATAAACCAGTAAAGTTGAAATTCCTCTGCTGAAGCATGTGCAGTAAAAGTCTGATGTCCATACAAAACTATGAGGCATGGCAGTAAGAGCCAAAATAATGATCATAAAGGGGAGTTTGTCCTGGGAAAATCTAGGAAAAAATTGAATAGGATAACAGCACAGAAACCTGGAAGGTCCAAGAAAGGGATTGGATAGGGGGAGGGCCCAGCACAAGCCCTTGAAGAATTAGAAAGAAGATTGGTTAGTTTTAATGAAAGCTTACCCCTTCCCAAATCAAAGGAAATATAATCAGAGCTTAACTAAGGGGCTCATTCACGTTCTTTCTTTCTGTGTAGCAGTGGCACAGGTTTTGCTCTGGCAGCCTTGAAGCTGAATCACGGTGCCCAAAATGAGTGTAACAGAGACTAAATTATACTACTGAGACTTCATATGCCAATTTGGGCTAATGGCACAGCAGCTCTGGGTCCTGGACCTCCTCCTGAGCTTGGTGTGGCCCCAGAGGCCCTGCAGTGAGATGGAGCTTAGCCACCTGCTTGGGGATGAGACATTGGGCACCAGGTGGCAGTCTTTTGTTTTCCCTCTAATAAATCTTGCCTCAAGTCCCCATGGGTTCCCAAAACACATTTCCCATGACTCAGTAAAAGAATCCTATCTCCACTAGCAACTCTACCTCAGTTCAATTGTCATCTTCTCTAATTTGACTTAAAAAAACATTTTGAGATGCCCTGACTGGTGTGGCTCAGTGGGGTCGGGCATCATCCTACAAACCAAAAGATCACCAGTTTGATTCCCAGTCAGGGTACATGCCTGAGTTGTGGGCCAGGTCCCCAGTTGCGGGCATGTAAGGGATAACCAAATGATGTTTCTCTCACATATCATGTTTCTAGTCCTCTCTTCCTCCCTCCCTTTACCTCTCTAAAAAAAAATAAGTAAAGTCTTTTAAAAAATAAAATAAAAATTTTTAAGAAAGACATTATGGACAAAATAACACATTAACTATGTGTGTTTGCAGTTGCATTTGCTATTTTTCACTTAATTGTATCAGGTAAGGTGTTTTCATAAGTAAACAAAATTTCAAGCCCTGGCTGGCATAGCTCAGTGGATTGAGCACAGGCTGCAAACCAAAGTGTCGCAGGTTCGATTCCCAGTCAGGGTACATGCCTGGGTTGCAGGCCATGACCCCCAGCAACCACACATTGATGTTTCTCTTTCTCTCTCTATCTCCCTCCCTTCCCTCTCTAAAAATAAATAAATAAATAAAATCTTTAAAAAAATTTCATATCAGACTGGCTTGAACTATCAAAGATATTTCTTAATTTATAAAACAGAAAATTTCAAAAGTAGAGCGTTTTCTCTACCATCTCTCTTCTCTGAAGTTGGTCATGTCTGCCCTTCACATGGGTTGCTTTGTTCTTAGGCTCACTTCATTGTAACAGCAAAATAGGGCATTTCAATTTCAGACTTTGTACCCTTGTGCCACTCTGTCCAGAAGGAAATTGAGAAAGGCTTCTAGCTAAATCACTAAACAGAAACCCTTAGTTTCATTCTCATGGCCCCACTTAGGGAAGAGGATCTTCATTAGTGACAAAGTAGGTGTGCTGATTGGCTTTAACCCATGAGAGCCCACCCTGGAGGCAGTGGTAGTAGGTGGAGTTTATTCACTTATGATTCCTGAGGTGCTTCACTAAGGGAAAGGTTGATTTTCTAAATGAAAGATCAGCCTACTTCAGCAAAATGAGAGGAGATCTGGATGCCTGGAAGCGACCTACTGCTACCACAATGATAAACTGAACATTTCCCCACCTCATTTAATGTGCTGAAACACTTCTTTTAAAATCTTCATAGTCACTATGGTGTAATGTTCCATCCCATGAATCCCATGAATGTAACACCTTAATTTTATTAGTTAGACAAGGAAGTTATTTCCAGTGTTTTGAAATATTACTGCAATGATCGTTCTCCCTCTCTTTCTTTGCTTAGTTTCATCTTTCTCTTCACTATATGCTCCTTATCTATTATAAATAGCTATTTTAAATAATACTAGATAAACATGTTTGTTCATAAGTATTTTTCACCTGATTATCTTCTTAGAATAAATTTATAATGATAGAATTAATGGGTCAAAGGCCAAGATTATTGAAATATAAATTGTCTTTTAAGGAGATTATACCAATTTGTACTGTACAACAGGTACTTAGTGTGTGACTGAGCTAGTTTCTTGACATTCTTACTAATTAACATAACCCCTTCCATTCACAAGTATCAAGTTGTCTGTCACTTCCATGCCTTTCTTTCTATTGTATTCTCAGTCTGGCTAACTCTATCTCCCTTCCAGTGCTCATTGCCCATGTCTTCCAGCTCCTATTTGTTCTAAGTGTTGATCATAACAAATATAACCTATTATAATCATTTGTCCATTTGTTTTTCTC